GAGAGGCCTGTAATTTTCATCATAGGTACACGTCAACTATGACAGACAAAATGAGAAAAAAAAATCCAGAAAATCACATTGTAGGATTTTTTATGAATGTATTTGCAAATTATGGTGGAAAATAAGTATTTGGTCAATAACAAAAGTTTTCACACACTGTTGCTGGTATTTTGGCCCATTCCTCCATGCAGATCTCCTCTAGAGCAGTGATGTTTTGGGGCTGTCGCTGGGCAACACGGACTTTCAACTCCCTCCAAAGATTTTCTATGGGGTTGAGATCTGGAGACTGGCTAGGCCACTCCAGGACCTTGAAATGCTTCTTCCGAAGGCACTCCTTCGTTGCCCGGGCGGTTTGTTTGGGATCATTGTCATGCTGAAAGACCCAGCCACGTTTCATCTTCAATGCCCTTGCTGATGGAATGAGGTTTTCACTCAAAATCTCACGATACATGGCCCCATTCATTCTTTCCTTTACACGGATCAGTCGTCCTGGTCCCTTTGCAGAAAAACAGCCCCAAAGCATGATGTTTCCACCCCCATGCTTCACAGTAGGTATGGTGTTCTTTGGATGCAACTCAGCATTCTTTGTCCTCCAAACACGACGAGTTGAGTTTTTACCAAAAAGTTCTATTTTGGTTTCATCTGACCATATGACATTCTCCCAATCCTCTTCTGGATCATCCAAATGCACTCTGGCAAACTTCAGACGGGCCTGGACATGTACTGGCTTAAGCAGGGGGACACGTCTGGCACTGCAGGATTTGAGTCCCTGGCGGCGTAGTGTGTTACTGATGGTAGGCTTTGTTACTTTGGTCCCAGCTCTCTGCAGGTCATTCACTAGGTCCCCCCGTGTGGTTCTGGGATTTTTGCTCACCGTTCTTGTGATCATTTTGACCCCACGGGATGAGATCTTGCGTGGAGCCCCAGATCGAGGGAGATTATCAGTGGTCTTGTATGTCTTCCATTTCCTAATAATTGCTCCCACAGTTGATTTCTTCAAACCAAGCTGCTTACCTATTGCAGATTCAGTCTTCCCAGCCTGGTGCAGGTCTACAATTTTGTTTCTGGTGTCCTTTGACAGCTCTTTGGTCTTGGCCATAGTGGAGTTTGGAGTGTGACTGTTTGAGGTTGTGGACAGGTGTCTTTTATACTGATAACAAGTTCAAACAGGTGCCATTAATACAGGTAACGAGTGGAGGACAGAGGAGCCTCGTAAAGAAGAAGTTACAGGTCTGTGAGAGCCAGAAATCTTGCTTGTTTGTAGGTGACCAAATACTTATTTTCCACCATAATTTGCAAATAAATTCATTAAAAATCCTACAATGTGATTTTCTGGATAAAAAAAATCCCCATTTGTCTGTCATAGTTGACGTGTACCTATGATGAAAATTACAGGCCTCTCCCATCTTTTTAAGTGGGAGAACTTGCACAATTGGTGGCTGACTAAATACTTTTTTCCCCCACTGTATATATAATTGTGTGTATAGACAGTATGGAAAGTATATGAATAGAAAAGGTGTATACAGCAGTAGATATATAGGATGAACCATGACTAGAATAAACTATATACATAAAGTGGGTAAAACAGTATGTAAACATTATTAAAGTGACCAGTGTTCAATGACTCTATGTACATTGGGCAGCAGTCTCTAAAGTGCAGGGTAGAGTACAGGGTGGTAGCCGGCTAATGGTGACTGTTTAACAGTCTGATGGGCTGGAGATAAAAGCTGTTTATCAGTCTCTCGGTCCCAGCTTTGATGCACCTGTACTGTCTCCTCCTTCTAGATGGTATCAGGTTGAACAAACCGTGGCTCGGGTTGCTGGGGTCCTTGATGATCTTCTTGGCCTTCCTGTGACACTGGGTGATACAGATTTCTCCTGAAGTTGAAGATGCGCTGTTGAACCTTCTTCACCACACTGTCTGTGTGAAGGGACCATTTCAGGTCGTCAGTGACCGGGGGTGGGGGCTTTACTTGGCTCATCGCGCTCTAGCGACTCCTTGTGGCAGGCCGGATGCCTGCAGGCTGACATCGGTTGTCAGTTGAACAGCGTTTCCTCCGACACATTGGTGCAGCTGGCTTCCGGGTTAAGCGAGTGGGTGTTAAGAAGCGTGGCTTGGCGGGTCATGTTTCAGAAGACCATTGGGGAGTTGCAGCGATGAGACAAGATTGTAATCACAAAAAGGGGGGTAAAAATGACAACATAAATAATAGAAGATAGCTAGATACAGTAATGCCAATGTTCTTTTTAGGACCATGAATTCCACGAACAATCATCATATAGCCTTTGATGTTTGGGGTAAAACACATAAGATCTTTAAAATCTATAGATAAGATACAATTTAATGAGCTACACTATGAAACACCAAAGAAATTCAATTCACTCTCCTTCCCCATATTTCCTCTTTCCATCGCTTCTTAAAGCATTATTCCTGGTCCATGTGATTCTTATGAGCCCTTCCGGCTCACACAAGCCAAGGCTCGTGCAAGGCTACTTACTTTTATTATGTGATCAAGGGCCACGTGAGTTTCTAGCTTTCCTTTGAGTCTGGCCTTCCGATTGGACGGACAGAGAGACAGCTGAGCTGAGCTTCCTCTGATGTGTGCAGACACACACACACACACACACACACACACACACACACACTTGAGCTTCCTCTGATGTGTGCTGACGCAGTAGGTGAACACTCCCTCGCCACCATTAATTGTCTGTACTTCCTAAACCATTCTTCTTTAACCTTTCCCTTCCTCTCTGTCTTCCTTAACCCCTGTACCCCAGAGGGATTATTATCATTTAGTGTAGTTTCAATCACGTGTGGCCATTCTGTTCCCAGAATCTTCCATAGCCTACTGCCTGAAAACCATCTTCACTCCATCTCCCTCCCTCCCCTCCCCTCCTCCTCCTCCTCCTCCTCCTCCTCCTCTATCTCCTCCTCCTTCTCCTCTTCTATCTCCTCTTCCTCTATCTCCTCCTCCTCCTCTATCTCCTCTTCCTCCTCTTCCTCCTCCTCCTCTATCTCCTCATCATCTTCCTCCTCCTCCTCTTCCTCCTCCTCCTCTATTTCCTCCTCCTCCTCTATCTCCTCCTCTATCTCCTCCTCCTCCATTTCCTCCATCTCCTCCTCCTCCTCCTTCTCCTTCTCCTCTTCTCTCTTCCCTCCTCCTCCTCCGCTCCCTATCTTCCTCCCCCATCTTCCTCTCCTCCTCCTCCTCCTCTTCCTCCTCCTCCTCCTCCCCTCCTCCTCCTCCTTCCTCCTCCTCCTCTTCTCCTCTTCTCCTCTTCCTCCTCCTCTATTTTCTTATCATCCTCCTCATCTTCCTCCTCCTCCTCCTCTTCCTCCTTCTCCTCTTCCTCCTCCTCTACATCATCCTTCTCCTCCTCCTCCTCCTCCTCCTCCTCTCCCTCCTCCTTAACTCTTGGATCCCAGATGTGCTAATGTGTGACCGTGACTCAACGTTTGTGAATGTGCTTGAAAATCAAAGACAATGTGTGATTAAGTGCGCTTCCCAAATGGCATCCTTTTCCCTTTATAGTGCACCCATATAGGGAATAGGGTGCCAATAGGGTCTTAAAGGATCATCATTAATATGTCCGATACAGTCTGGGACTATTTATGGAATGTTCTAAATTATCTAGAATGCAAATAACAGGAATCCAGCTAGGAGAAATAAGTTATATGATCATTAGTGAATTGTGAGCATGCACACATAGTTAAGGGGTAACTGGGTGTGGACATCAAAGGCTGGAGTGTAGATCTCCTATCAGAGACTTGGAAACACACACCCACACACCCACAAACACCTCATCATGTGGTCTAGGGCAGGCTGTTATAATCCAAGTCATGATGGTGATTCCCCACAGCATCGACACACAGCATGCCGGTGATTCCCCACAGCATCCACACACAGCATGCCAGTTAATGGAGAGAGAGCGAGTTCACAGAAGAACTCTTTAGATTCTCAGAATCTGATAGGACTCGAGACTGGACCTTTGTTTGGGTGTCTGGTCTTAGAAGATAGTACGTCTCCCTTCTGACAAAATGATGGAAGTGATTTTCCAGATAAAATAAGTAACAAGGTGTTTTTTTAAATTATTTTTTTATTTATTTTTTGGGGGTAGATCAGCTTAATATTGCTGATAGATTGTAACTTCCTTCAATGTAATTGTCTGCATCACTTCCAATCCCCCATGATTTTTAAAAAATATATATATATACAGTGGGGAGAACAAATATTTGATACACTGCCGATTTTGCAGGTTTTCCTACTTACAAAGCATATAGAGGTCTGTAATTTTTTATCATAGGTACACTTCAACTGTGAGAGACGGAATCTAAAACAAAAATCCAGAAAATCACATTGTATGATTTTTAAGTAATTAATTTGCATTTTATTGCATGATATAAGTTTTTGATCACCTACCAAACACTAAGAATTCCGGCTCTCACAGACCTGTTAGTTTTTATTTAAGAAGCCCTCCTGTTCTCCACTCATTACCTGTATTAACTGCACCTGTTTAAACTCGTTACCTGTATAAAAGACACCTGTCCACACACTCAATGAAACAGACTCCAACCTCTCCACAATGTCCAAGACCAGAGAGCTGTGTAAGGACATCAGGGATAAAATTGTAGACCTGCACAAGGCT